GTAACCTTGCAAAGATAAACAGGAAGTTACATTCGATTGTTTTTCCTGTCTAACCACAGACTGGCAGAAGATTATTTCTGTGAAGTCTATAAAGCTGACTGTTCCCGAAAAACTTCAGTCATCTCTGCTTGTACCTGTCAACAGAATAAACGAGAGTAAATACAGATAACGACCATAACAGCTTCAACTCCCTCAGATTCCTCCTGTGATCACTTCATGAATCAGCTGGGCAATAACGTATTCCTGATGACATTTTTTGCCCTAAACTTTAAACAATATCAAACTAATGAGAAGTCCAGCAATCTGATTCAGGGCTCTACAAGTGAAAACCTGCTACTTATAACATTTCTTTATCTGTCTCCAGTCTTCATCTGCAGCAACAGAAAGTTTAATCCGAGGTCAAGATGGGTGACGTAACTGAAACAGTTTCCACTTTGTTCTCAAAACAGCTGAGTATTATTTTAGAAAGAGTCTTTCATCAGGAGATTCATCCTGCCAGGAAATGCGAGACTCAAATCCTCATGAAAAATCACATCACAGATATACAAGTGAATAAATAAAGTTAGGAATCTATAACCGAGACATACAGTTAGAACAAAAAAGTTTGCAAAGACATATACAACAGCTACAACGCAAAAAAAAAAAAAGATTTTTCAAAATTGTAAATAATAATTTGAATTCTCTGCATGTTGAGAGCTGTAGTCATATTGTGCCTGTCCCCATTTTAACCTCTAGTTTGAGTTGTAGATAGACTCTAGAAACCTCTCCTGATGCAGACACATCCAGCTGGTGTGTGTATTCATGTGTGTAGGCAAAGGAAAACAGTAAGCGCAAAGAGAAGACTGGGATTATCTGTTCATCTGCATTAAAGGGGATTAAAAATCTATCTGTACACTCTAAAAAATGCTGGGTTGTTTCAACCCAACTTTGGGTCAAATATGGACTAACCCAACCATTGGGTTAAATTTTTACATTAAATTTTTAACCCAAAAGTTGGGTTAGTCCATATTTGACCCAAAGTTGGGTTGAAACAACCCAGCATTTTTTAGAGTGTAACCTTGCAAAGATAAACAGGAAGTTACATTCGATTGTTTTTCCTGTCTAACCACAGACTGGCAGAAGATTATTTCTGTGAAGTCTATAAAGCTGACTGTTCCCGAAAAACTTCAGTCATCTCTGCTTGTACCTGTCAACAGAATAAACGAGAGTAAATACAGATAACGACCATAACAGCTTCAACTCCCTCAGATTCCTCCTGTGATCACTTCATGAATCAGCTGGGCAATAACGTATTCCTGATGACATTTTTTGCCCTAAACTTTAAACAATATCAAACTAATGAGAAGTCCAGCAATCTGATTCAGGGCTCTACAAGTGAAAACCTGCTACTTATAACATTTCTTTATCTGTCTCCAGTCTTCATCTGCAGCAACAGAAAGTTTAATCCGAGGTCAAGATGGGTGACGTAACTGAAACAGTTTCCACTTTGTTCTCAAAACAGCTGAGTATTATTTTAGAAAGAGTCTTTCATCAGGAGATTCATCCTGCCAGGAAATGCGAGACTCAAATCCTCATGAAAAATCACATCACAGATATACAAGTGAATAAATAAAGTTAGGAATCTATAACCGAGACATACAGTTAGAACAAAAAAGTTTGCAAAGACATATACAACAGCTACAACGCAAAAAAAAAAAAAGATTTTTCAAAATTGTAAATAAATAATTTGAAATGAAAATAAATAATAAATTTGAAATGAAAATAAATAATTGAAGTACGTTTTACAAGAAAAGAAAATTTCAGTATTTGTACTTGCTATTTCCTTGTAATTATTTGTTAAATTTACTAGCAATTTTTGAGTGAAATTTTTTGACACTTTTTTGACAGTATCATTAAAAAACAACCTTTTCAACCTTATATACCCCCTGAAAAGTGCATATTAGTAACTTAGAACAGTAATATGTGCCATTAATGTGCTATTATGAATCTTTTATGGGTGTATAAGCTATAAAATTGTCACATTTTCTTTTTCTGAGAAAAAATATATATACAGTGATTCTTAATGTTTACAATAGTCACACACAATGGTATTTACAAAGCAGTCCAAAGATTACCAAGATTAAAGGGTTAGTTCAACCAAAAATGAAAATTAGCCCATAAATAACTCACCCTCAAGTCATCCTAGGTGTATATGACTTTCTTCTTTCAGACGAATCCAGTCGGAGTTATATTAAAAATTGTTTTTGATCTTTCAAGCTGTTTCATGGCACTCAGCGAGTGTTGCATGCATCAGTCCAAAAGCAGTTAAATAAAAAGCGCCCATCCATTAAAAAAAAGTGTCTCACACGGCTCCGGGGGGTAAACAAAGGCCTTCTGTAGCGAATCGATGCGTTTTTGTAAGAAAAATATCCATATTCAAAATGTAATAATCACTTTAATGTAGCTTGCGCTCACTGTTGTACACGGAAGCGGTTCCGGGGGAATGACGTATGGAGGTCAGTGTTGCGCATGCGCCGCTCAGAAGTGACGAACGCGGAAGCGCAGCGGAGAGATCAAAACAAAACAACGGTCGCTAATTAGAAGTACAAAACGAGGATTTGTAAAGAAGAATGTCAGAGGATTTCGATATAAGCCAAGATGAGACTGGTTGTCCTTTGCCAAAGTAAGGAAACTTTGCTTCCTTTGATCCTAGAAGAAAGTCATATACACCTAGGATGACTTGAGGGTGAGTTATTTATGGGCTAATTTTCATTTTTGGGTGAACTAACCCTTTAAGAGGACCAGTCATTGCTACTTACAAATTAATGTAAAAAAAGGACATTAAATATTGATTTGAGTTTAACTATTTCAATAAAACGCATACAAGTGATAATAGATATATGAAACTAGCAGTAGGAAATCAGTTGTCTAGGACAATAATCATTATACAGTTTAGTGGTCATCATATCACTTACATTTTAGTAGGCTATTTAGTATATCATTTTCTGTTGAAATGAAAACAAACTTAACAAAAGTGTGCAGTTATAGGTTATAGTTACAGTCCTGTTGCATAATCTGATCCAGAATCCAGATAAAAACATTTTCAGATCATTTCTAGCACGAGATATTGCAACAGCAAAGCTGATACGGTTTGCGAGTTTCACTGTTGTTTTTGTACGTCACGGTGAACACGAAGACTCGGGGGTTTCCATGGCGACAGTCACAGATGATGTGAGTCAGTTTAGCAACTGGAGTCTGGCTGATGGTAATGAGTGTTTCTCACAGCTGCAGTGGCCTGATCGCAGCCGTCCAATCGGCTCGGAAGAACACTAGGATGTCTGCTGGAATGTTCTACAGACGCTCCAAAATGCCAAGTGTGATCAATGAGTGTGTGTGTGTGTGTGTGTGTGTGTGTGTGTGTGTGTGGGTGGAGTATCTCTGTCTTGTTCTGTAATATGACTCATGCTCATAGATTATTGGGGCAGCAACAGGCTTCGCTTCTCTTTTAATATATTTCTGGGTGAAATCATATAACGTGATCGATCAGATCTTCACGTGTGTGTTTCAAATGCATTTTCGCATCTGTGCAGGTCACTGACCTTTAAAAAGAAACTGAAACACAACTAACTTCTCAAGGTTATAGAGGTGCTAAATGGCTTACTGTTAAGAAAGTGTGTGGTACAGTAACATTATGAGTCAAAAGGTTACAAATCAGCTCTTGATTCATGTAACAGCTAGTCTGAAGTAGTTAAATTTTTTTGTCTGTCCAAAAAACTAGTAATGATTTTACAGACAGGAAACAGTGGAATATCTAGTGTCTAGTTAAAATGCAACTAATTTCTTTAAGAACACCCATGGCATCAGCTGAGTACCTTATAAACCTGATTTTGTTAAAATAAATAAATTAAAAAAATTAGTTAAATCCAGTGGCTAAAAACTTTCATAGTAGCCTAGTACCTTGTAAACCTGATTCTGTAAAAAAAAATAAAAAAGTAAAAGAAAAATAAAAAAGGGCCAAATTGTTAAATCCTGTGGCTCAAACATGGCCATAGTATCAGCCAGGTACCTTGTAAAGTGAAAGAGTAAGTGAAAGTCCTGACATTTGCCAAGTACCCATACTCGGAATTTGTGCTCTGCATTTAAGCCCATCCAAGTGCACACACACAGCAGTGAGTAGTGAACACACACACACACACACCGTGAACACACATGATTTCATACAAAATTTTTAAAAATAAATAAAAAAAACATATAAAAAAACAAATAAAATGAAATAAATATTTTATAAAATAAATAAAAAATTAATTAAAATATACAATTAAAAATTCAATATATAATAAAATAATTAAATCTGAAGACTAAAAATGTTCATATTATAGTTCCTAAAATAAAAATATAAGTTATTTAAAATGGCTATAACATCAACTTGGTACCTTGATTACTCGAACGAATGAACGAACAAACAAATGAATACATAAAATAGTTAAATCTGAAGACTAAACATGGTCTAAAATAAATTTAAAAAACATACGTTGTTAAATCTAGTGGCTCTAAAAGCACCTATAGTATCTGCCTGTAAACCTGATTTTGTTTAAATAAATAAATACATACATACAAACAAATAAATAAATGTTAATTCCAGTGGCTGGAAAAACACCCATAGTATCAGCTGGGTAGCATGTAAAGTAAGTTTGTTTAAAAAAGTAAAATAAAATAAAATACAATAAAATAGAAATGAATTAATTAATAGCAGAATCAGCTCAGTATCTAATAAAAAATTTAATTAAAATAATAATAATGATTATATATGTTAAAATCTGAACCCTCCTGAAAAGATGAGAAAAGAAAAAGACCAAAAAAAATCTTGATCCTTCAGTTAATTTTTCACACTGTAAATAAATGCATACAGGCCATCTGCATACTACGCACAGTATACTGTACATACTGCAAAACTGTACAAGTAGCCTATAGACTAGATATATCTATGGGAGGCTGACATAAATGTCTGTGTTTGTCCACAGGCCGCCGAGGTGGAGAAACAGTTGTCTACTCAGGTTCATTCTTTACGGGATGATTTCAAAGAGAAAAGTCTCTCCACCAACCAGCACATGACGCGCCTTGAGACCCTACAGGCCGAGGTGAGGCATTATGGGATGTGGACTGTCTTATTTGCAGTGAGTCATGACACCATGATATATTTCAAAATCTGCTTTCCTCTGTTTTCCTTCCTCAAATCATGATTTGTTTCCTGCACTAAACAGCAAGGGCTTGAAGTAAGTGCTCATGAACCGCTTCCTCTTTTCTGCATGCTCGTTTTGTGATGTGAGGATCTCATTGTGCGATGCAAAACGCTGCTGGATCATACCCTGATTGCTTTATGTCACAGCTGAGCATCAAAGCAGCTAGAAAAAGTGAATGTGGGATTTTTCACTAACTCATCTATGAGAGACGGGTGTGTAATTGGCTCCTGGTGTCTTTGTTGTGACAGCGCAGGACAAACAACGCCAGCGTGAGTTTCACAGGCCGTCATCAGTGGACACGCTCATATCACTGGTCTATTCACAACAACAAGATCAAAACAAAGCTTCGTTCAATTCTGAAATAACTGAGGTTATTCTGATAAAAGTGAGGACATTTTATTAAGGGAAAATTGTGGATCTGTAGATTGTAAATTGTGGAACTGTTCCAAAACATAGTGAACGGCCTACCAATGTTATTTTAGTATTATTAAGATAGTTTGTGTATATGTGTGTGTATACAGTATAGAGTGTATGTATATATATATATATATATATATATATATATATTTCATTTTTATTTTTGTATTTTCGATTATTATTTAAATTTTAGTTCATGTTTTAGTAATTTTGATGTGTTTGTCATTTTTATTAGTTTATATATATATATATATACACACACACACACACGCACAGTATAATATATATATATATATATATACACACACACACGTAATCAATTTCTCACATGTACTAGGCTATATGGCATGTTTTATGAACCACATGATTTATCATATGGCTTTAGAAGACTTGGGATTAGGGCTGCAGCTACTGTTATAATAATTTAATCTGTTGATTATGTCTTCTTCAATTACTTGAATAAAAAAAGCCATATTCATTTTCAGTCATTTTTAAAAGTCATTCTACATCCTGCCCAGTGTTGCCCTCTGAACAATGTGTGGATTGAAGGCTATGAAACAAAATATAGTAAATGTATCTATGTAAACTATGCTATTACGAGCACAAAAGTGTTAAAATATAAACATTAAATTCAAAAACCATGTAAAATACCAGTAAATTAAATGAAACGTGTTCAAACATTAGGTAACACTTTATTTTAGGGTCTCTTAACTAGTTACTTATTAGCATGCATATTACTAGAATATTAGCCATTTATTAGTACTAATTAAGCACATATTAATGCCTTATTCTACATGACCTTATTCTACATCCCTAATCCATATATATACATATATATATATATATATATATATATATTTAATTTTTATTTTCCATTATTATTTAAATTGTAGTTAATGTTTTAGTAATTTTGATGTGTTTGTCATTTTTATTAGTTTATATATATATACACACACACACACGCGCATAGTATATATTAGTTATTTTTTTATATCAAGTTAAACTAAATGAAAATGAGAAATGTTGCTTTGGAAATTTTCTGAAATAAAATAAGTGTACGTTTTTTTTTAAATATTAGAATTTAATTTATTTCAGCTATTTTTTATTTTATTTCAAGAAACAAAAATATTTTTATGGGTTTAGTTTTAGTTAACTATAATAACCCTGCTGCCTTTTACATCAGTTTTACAATTTGCATCCTTTATTGAAATGACAATCCCAGAATGCATTACGGCAAGCTCAGTGAAAAAATTCAAGCAAGATGGAAAGAAAAATATTAGCTGTATACTTATGTCATACAGTACTGAAAAGTATTGATAAGAATACTTTAATCTGATTAAATATAAACTATTTTACCTAATATGGGTATGTTTCTGTGAAAAACTGCAAAAAAAAATATATATATATTTTCTTACTCAGTATTTTTGTTTTGTTGTCCAGTACAAATATCTAAACATTCTTAATTCAATATACATTTACTTGACAAGCAGCAAAAAAAAAAATTTAAGTGAGTTTTTGCTTAAAACAAGAAAAATGGGGTGGTTAAAAAAAAAATCAGTCGTAGAGTATATGAGGTTCATTTCATTTCAGGATGCTCCCTTAGAAGGCTGCTGCCTATGTAGACAATATAGGCAGCAAGGCAGCTCACTAGGTTTTGGAACAGAGCCCACATGTACATATTAACAACTGCTCAGTATTGAGCAACAGGAACTGGCCTGATGAGCAACATTACGAATGAGAGATTAGCCAATCATAACAAACATCATTTATATAGATAAGTGTTAAAGGTACAGTAGCAAAACAGATAAGTGTCTAAGAAAAAATGACCATGAAACACTAAAGTAATAACATTTCAGTAGATTATAGGAGAAAAAAATATTTATCAAAGGATATATATATATATATATATATATACTGGCACATTTAAATCACAGAATTACATTAAGCTTTTTCAACGGAACCTTTCCTTGTTTAGAATTCTTTTAAAAAGAAGAAATAACTAGGATTAAGTAAAGTGCAAAAATAATAAAAACTAATTGTATGCAATAAAATCAAGATCAAGAACTGTGTTGCATCATCTACTCTATGAACAAGCAGGAGAATACAATTGTTGAGTATTTGTGTATTGTAACATCTCCAAGACGCTTCAAGAAAACTACCACAAAGCTACAGTACTGTAAAGATTTAGGCACTTGTGTGTGCAAATGTTGTAAAGATAATTTCACAAATAGATTGTATTTAGCAATTAACTTCTGTTAGCTAAATTAAATCAACGTTTAGTCTGTCTTAGTATTTGTCTGTTTCTTCATGTCATTCCAGACAGACTGGATGATGATGAGATCAGATCTCTGTGTGGAGCACTGGCTGTTGTCAGACTCCTTGTGCATACAAACAATTAATGTTTGGAAATGTAAACTGATCATTCCTACTGACACACTACAGCAAAAAAATAGAAATAACTGAGTTAACTGAACCATTTTTTTTGTTGTTATAATAAAGTTATATATGTTCAACAGTAGTTTTGTTGAAAATACTAGTGGCTTAAGACTGGCTTAAGACTTTTGCACAGATATATATATACTGTATATATATATAGAGAGAGAGAGAGAGAGAGAGAGAGCGAGAGAGAGCAAAAAATGAATACTCTCCATACATACATACATCCACATCTACTGCATGACTAATAGATCTGGGTTTGTTCTGCATGTGTAAACTATGTAATTGTTACACCTCAACAACATTTTTGTTCTTGTAAAACACACAGAAACAAAGGTGGGTTTTTCCTCTAGTACAGTGGAACTGTATAACGCCAATTCAGATCTTAACATGAGTTTTGCAAATACAGAATCCTCGGGTCCTGTCTTTCAATCATAGCCAGATACTGCATGTTTGGAAAAAACCTTCTCTTAAAAGCAATCTTAAAGGGGTCCTATTATGCTTTTTCACTTTTTAAATTTTAGTCAGTGTGTAGTGTG